AAAAAACATCTTGAAGCTAGGACCGGCGCAAAAAACACCTTGGAGGTAGGACCGGCGCAAAAAACACACTGTCGCAAAAAACACTAGACAAGTAGGAATAACTGTTTGTAATTACGCGGAAAGAATCGACGCAAAAAACACCTCAAGTTTGGACAAGCGCAAAAAACACACTAGACAAGTAGGAATAACACTACTGTTTGGAATTACACTGGTTTCCGTCGCAATTAACACACGTCCCAGCACGATGATGGTTTTGCGCGTCATCACTATGTCTATCTAATAAGTCCACTACTTTGGAACAGCATTCACTTGTCCTGTTGCTTTCAACCCTTTATTTCGATCCCCATTTTACTGCCAACAAGTTGGCCAAGCATGGCCAATCTCCTGGCGGGGCTTCTGCAATGTGCCAGTAAACGTGTTCAACGCTTTCAATGTCTTGAAACATTCGAGTCCTGCACACGATGAAAGCAGCAACTAGCAAATCCCCAAAGCAACAATAAAATCCCAGAGTAGGTGAAACTGTGAAACCTGGTGAACTATGCAATATTGCATTCAAACATATCCACCTTCCCCTGGACTATTCATATATACTTCAGGAAGTCTAAGACCATCCGTCGCCACTTTCTGTCTTCAACTGCAGAGCTTGTGGTCTCAACTACAGCAAGGTGCATCACCATCTGGATCACTGGGCGTGAGGAGGCCCCAAACATATTTTCATCCCTTCATCACACGGATTTCTTGCAACATCCACATCACACCCAAGAAGATCAACCAGAAGCCAAACACCAACCAGCAATGGTAATGCCCTTCCTATGTGACAGCCGCTGTACAACTCAGTTTACAACTCAGAGTTTTGTCCCTTTTCATGGCTGTCTTCACAAGTCGCGCCGTGGATCCCCAGGACACGGATCACATGTCACTCATACGATGATCTCCTTGGACACCACCTACCGCGATGGGAACGAAGAAAACGCGAAAGCACAGTGGTTTGGAGGAACAAAACTGCTTCCATGAAGATCGGTGGACAAAGAGCTTCCACATGGAGTGAACGATCTGGCTTGGGCAGGGTGACTTGTGGCATCACAAGGAGTTTGCAGAGTGCCAGTTCGTCACTGGGATTGTTGCCCCTGCCATTGGCTTTTGCCTGCCTGTCCTTTTTTGATCTCTAAGACCTAGCAGTCCTGGTGGCATCACCAGCTTGTCATCAACATGCAGGACTGGATTGTGACATGAGCCCCCTCAAAGTCATCTCTACTTTGGAAAGTTGAGAGCACTCGTCACGAGTTTAGGGCTATACTCACAGAAGCCTATGAGGAGCCAAAGGACACGTAGGCCAGGCCTAAAGGTCTTACAAGATCTTACAAGGGTACCACCATCTGAAATGTGTATCACAAAGGCATTTTGCTGAGATACGTCTGACGATAAAGGGCAATACAAAGAGCAATACAAGGAATGCACTGTTTCCGGGCAATGTGGCTCATCCTTTCTTGGATGAGCTTCAACATGCTATGACCCATACCTGTTCCAAACCTACGCATCGGCCGATTTCTGCTGCAAGTCTCCTGTGGAGCGGCGGCTGCCAAATACTGCGCCACCGTCAGATTCGAAGGACCACCTCAGTGGTCCAGCTCAGTGGTGAACGAACGCCCCCCGGTGTCCAGCTCAGTCCAAATGATTCGGATTGGTGTGTGGCGTCCTCCCCCCTACCCCGAAAAAATCTTCCAACTTCAACGTCAAGAGCTTCCGCATTCCGCATGTAAGATCGATTGGCATCTTCCCAAGTTCGGTCGCACTCTTGAGTTGGAAGGCCTCCATTGTTCAAAAAGGGCATTCAACTGAGCCTCAAGATAGAGTCCTCCACCTCCCAATCCAATAAAGGCGGATGTCAACTTGTCTGAAAGACCACACTGCTAATCAGCGAGCAAACCTAGGCGTAGTAGTCTTGTCTAACTCATCTTAACTCCGGCAGCATGTCAGCTTGATCGTCGTACCCAATTTTGCAAGGTCAGTCCGACTCGTGTTTACTTGGAAATGGGCAATGGAAACTTGTGCTGTCATCCCTTGGGCTGTGACATCCCGCTGCAGGTGAAGCTGAGTCGGAGTCCCAAAGCCTGTGGATCCACAGGGTTGGGGCGAAGCCGGATGTAAAGCACATTAAGATACATTAAGCTCTCCCACAGATCCCAGCTCGTCCCCAGGTCACACCCAATTAATAGTAAATACCGATCCATCCACCGAATTTGAGAAAAAACACACATTCCATCCATCTGGATCACCCCGAAAACCATCTCACCCCGCCAATTGTTTGTCAAAAACACCGTAGAAGTCCAGGAAGGTGATGTTCTCCAATTCGATGGTGAAGTACCTCGGTGCCGTTCCGCCCAAGCTGTTGGTTTTTTTTTTGTACGCCACTGATGTGGCTCAAGGAAAGCATGGATCACGCGCAAACGGTGATTGGCCACAGAGAGAACTGGTACCTCATGCACACCTAGGACCTCAAAAGACTTGTGTGCTTTCTGGAGGCACATGGAAGGGCACTTGATCATGAGGTTTGGTGGGATATGTAGGAATTGGCAATTGGTCAATAGCTGGGTTTGGTAAAACAAGCGTCTCAACATGTGTGGCCTCCGTACGAAACACCAACAAATAACATGCTAGAACAGTGTTGCCGTGCAAGATTTGGGAAGAAATCTACATCCATTTTCGTCTTCGTCTCTAGGGTTTCACACCACACAACTCCTTCGTTGCTCATTTCCCACGCAAATCGTCGATCGCTTAGTCCGCTTAACGCTTCCTCCCAGCTGCTGTCCACCGGTGTGTGCGCCACCGGTCGCCAGCCACGGCGCCAGGGGATGCTTCACTTTCATCCGTTCCTCCGTAGTAACAAGAAGTTATTAGGAACAAGTGCATCGCTTCTAGTAACAAGTGCCTTACTAGTAGTAACAAGAAGCTAGTAGTAACAAGTGCCTTACTAGTAGTAACAAGAAGCTATTAATTTAGATTTAATTCTATTTTAATTCTAATAGCTTTTTGTTACTACTAGTAAGGCACTTGTTTCTACTAGCTATTAGTAAGGATGCTTCACTTTCATCCGTTCCTCGGCGTCCAGCAGCTCGGTGGCGTTCAACACGCGCAGGCGACCGGAGAGGGTGATGCCTAGCGGAGCGGAGCGGAAAGCCAATGGCCGTACAGTACAGTGGGCGTGCCATGTTGAGTATGATTTGGTTTCGGAATGGATGCTGAGATCAAGGGAAACACATGGGGAACATTGGGGAAACACATTGATAGACCAGATATGTGTCCCAAATGCTTTCTCCTGTTCTCAACAAGGCTTGCTGATGTCACACCAGCATGGACAGTGGGTCTGCCCATGTGCATCTGGTTCACTTATTTGGGGTTGCCTAACACCACCAATTGTGCAACCAAATGCAGCGCGAGTGTGGTGTAGCATACGCTCAAAAGTTCAAAAGAAAAGGGGCAATTCATGGTGACTCAAAGTTTGTAGCTAAGACAAACTGTCACAAAATAGGACGGAAGACCTGGAGAAAGTACTGGACCATGCAAATGCTCCTTCCATGTCTAGTCACGCCGAAAAGGACACATGAGAGGTGGACAAACATGTGCAAGGTTGCTAACACCCAGCAAGCTAGACATTTGCTCCTGAACTAACCGGTGCACCCACAGCCAGAAGTGCGCATGCCCATTTCAAGCGCACTCTGGAGTGTTCGATTTTGGATTGTTCAATGCGTAAACATCAACACATCAACACATCATCATCTGAAATCTGAACGCTACAAAGAAAGCAATCAAACTAGCAATCTTATAAAGATCAATAATATTATTGCCAGGGCTGCATCTGGCTACCTACCCTTACACCATCTTACCCCGTCGTACTGCCCTAGCATGCCCCAGCAGGCCCTCCCAATGTCCCTATAGACATTAGACATCCGTCCCTCCACACACCGCTTCAGGCGCCCAAAGATCTGGATCCGGGCGGCGGGCGCAAATCGGATCCTCCGTCTCTCCGCAGCTGCCGCTGCCCGGCGCAGGAAGACCCGCTTCGCTCATCGTCAGCACCGCGCGCGCGTCAGCGGCGAGATCGGCGCTGGAGGGGTCCGGCGTGGGAACGTAGAGCATTGGGAGGCCTGGTGGAATGGATGTAGGTTCAATAGAGAACAGGAGTTTCCCATAAGTTCAAGTAGAACAAGCACTTAGCAGTTTGATGATGTGTGAGTTCTGTGCGTTCAAAAGTTGCACAAGTGACCAAGGGGACTTACGTCCTTTGGCATGTAAAGGACTTGTGCATGTGTGCTTGCAAGTCGTCTCTTGACAATACAGTGAATCAAGGCAGTCAGTCACACCTCCAAGGAGTGATACCTTAGGTGATGTCCAACATGTGCTTTTTGGGTTCGTTGGCAGTATGTGGGAAGCGAAAACACTGCGATAGGAACACTGTCGCTAGAAGCAAAACTGTTCTTGAGACAAGTTTCTGCGACCATTTGAAGTGATTGGCAAGAAGTTCCTGCTTGAGATTTTGCAACCATTCGAAGTTCCTCCGACCATCCCTGCAATATCGGATTCAATATCGAGTTTGTCTCGTCTCACCACCAAAACTGGGTGGTCCGTTTCACCAAGTTCCTACAAATCGAATTGACCAAATCTCCCACCTGTGCTGTTGGTGCCGACGCCATCCGCCACGGAACGCACGTTCCTGAGAGATCTGAGGTGAACATCATTCCTTCCTCCGGAAAAATCCCTGGCACTGCACTAGTTGAACAGGTTATGACCGTGCTAAAACACTGTAAAAACACTCTGTGACTGGGTAGTCCTGCTAATCTCACATGCACTGCTCAAAAAGCAAATAGCTGATTTGTCCGTCCCTTGCCCTTTACTTCACAAACGTCAGTCCATTTTGACTTCTGATTTCCACCTGGCCAGGCACTGCCTCTCCACTCTCTGTCTCCACTCCCGTCAGGGCTCCCCCAAGCCATTCCTGGCCGCCGCACTGAACTTGTCCCCAGCGCTGCCCACACGCTGTGTGCCACCAGCCAGCGCGCGCGGTCTGCCAGCTGCGACCAGGGAGGTGGCTTGCTGCCAGGCTGCAAAACGGATGACCTGGTGGTTTTCGTCACTCCAATCAGCGAAGGAGGAAACACGTTGAAGAAACCAACAAATCGCCTGAAACCCTAAAGACGACCTTTGTTGAACCGAAGCCAGTGGTGAGGTTGTTTCGCCCTAGCCTAGCAGGGTCGTATGGCTCATAAGTCTTAGTCCAATGGTTGTAGCTCAAAGTTGGGGGTCTCTCACTTGAAAGCCACCCACCAATCTCAATAGAAAACATCTCGCAAAACAGCATGCGCATTCAAACGGTGTGTCTTCGAGTTGGCCGAACGCATCGAGTTTCCACAAGCTTCCCTGATGGAAATCTGGCCAGTTTGGGCAAATTGGTGGATCAATCGTAGATGGGGAGGAGGCCTGAATTGCACTTTGGCTTGGCGTTTTCAACTCGGTGATCAATCATCAGTGGGATCAGTGGGAACAATCATCCCGTCAGCTTTCAGCTATGAGAGTTTTCCAGCTCCAAAATGAACAGAGTGGGTGGGATTTTGCGACATTAGCAAGGTTTTGTCATTTTAGGTTTTCACCCACAGCCAAAATGAATGAATTCGAACGCATCAAGTCTATCCCCAAAAAACATCATCCATAAACCAAACTTGGAATCCACCAAACATGACCCTCCCCCTTTGTTTGGTTCCCATGGCACTTGACAGCTCCCTTGAACTATCCATCGAAGGCCCGTGCGCCGCACGCTAGGATGAGTGGAAGACTGGGCCATGATCCAACTACACTCCCTGGAATAATGATGGAAGTGGACAACCACCTATTTGTAGCCATGCCATCCACTTGCATGATGATGCCAGGTAGTGTATTCTTGGAACATCTTTGGACAATCTCTGACAAACTAAAACACCGGGGACAGCAACACGCAACACGAGCAACTTCACGTGCCATGGTTTGGACCCCAACAGCCCTGTATTGACAATTGATGTGGACTGTCCCAAGCAACCCAATGCAATTGACTTGGCCTCCCAGGGCCTACTGCTCCCACCGTGCTCCCAGAGCCTGCTGCTGGCAGCCCAAGGAGTGGTGTGCCGCGGCTGTGCAGCCCAGAAGACATCCAGGGAGATGTTCTCGCCGCCGCCGTACATGTCGATCATCCAAACCTCCGACGGGTTTCCGCGTCCAAAACATGTCGCACATCTTGAATCAGACCTGGGTAGTTTGGTGACCCAGGGTGACATGTTGATTGCAACAAATGAGAGCCATTTTCCAGTGCCTCGGAACATGTTGATTCCATGGTAGCTGATGATAGTTTGATGCATTACCATATGCTCTTCAGATCTCATCAGCTATAACCTGATGATCGATTCAGGATGCCAGGATGATATCAAGACATGCAGCTCGTCACGAAAAGATCTGATGTCGTCACCTCCGAGAGCTGAAGCTCATGCACCGCGAAGTGATGGCCTCGTCGACCATCGACCGACTTTGGTGGCGTTTCAACACCCAAAAGTCCAAAGGGTTGGCAAACAGGCTCCTCGTCCAAATAAGGCTAGCGGCTAGGGCTGTCGAGGAAAGATATGGAACAATCCGAACAATCCCAGTTTGCAAAAGGAGGAAGGGCACGGACAGTCATGTCATGCCTCTAAAGCAACATACTCGATTGTGGATGAAACAAAGTTCACTGTGGATGCGCCAAAACCCACGTACGAGTACAAAACATGGTCATACGTGTCACATAATTATCTGTATCCACACATCAAGTCCACATCACTGCCAGCAACTGCTTGCCACCAAGCCGCTGGCTGGCCAATGCTTCATCTGAGGGTGCCGGGCAAACAAGGCCTCCTTTCCCAATTGCACGTCCTGCAATGCAAACGCCCCGGGTGGAAGATGTCTAAAGTGTGGCCAAGGGTTGATGGCTCTAATCGGTGCATTCAGAAGTTGTTCAGTGGGGCTTCTTATACTACTTCAAGTCTGGGGGAGGGTTGACTATTGAAGTATTATCTAGGGGTTTCAAGACTGGTTACTGGTTCAATGAAAGTTAAAAACTCTCGACAAATGCTTTGTGTGCTTTCGGTTTAAACAGTGTTTGCTCCCTTCTCAAAGTGTTCCAACCTGATCAATCAGGAAGCAGGCTGTTGCGCGGCGTCTGAAGGGTGCTTGCACTCCAAAACAGGACCATCCCTTTCCATTTCTCTGCACGCAATGTGCACGCAATCCAAGCGCCACTCACCAGGATCGATCGATCAGTTCGTCTCGGATGGGATGCCCAGAACCTCCCAGCGCTGCCGCCTCCGTTCGTCCCCAACGACGCCTCCCCTTCACTCTTCCGAAGGATGCCCGAGGCCGTCAGCTTCGCACAGCGCGGGTCCTGGCGTGAGAAGGTGCTCACTTGCTCTAAGCGGTGCTTGGAAAAGCAGAAACCGGACAACTCTATGGTCTGGTGTTGGTCTCCGTCCATCTCTGTCAGACAGTCGAGTCCAACATATCTAACAATATGAACTGTAACCCCTTTTTTGATTTTGCATCCAACATATTTTGAATAGAAAGGCAAACAATGCTCCAACCATCAGCCACTGGGACTCGGCAGTGTTCCATTCAATCGCTGAGACGCACGACCTCTACACTGGGACACGGTCTGGACGTACGACCCTCCACCAGGACGGTAAGTAGAGCTCGAGAGGGTATTCCACACCAACGAGCAATGAACATACAAAGGTATCGAACACACAATGGACAACGGCTACGGCTACATACACACACGGTGATCAGCGAGCATCCCAAAGCCATGCCTATGACCGACCACGTTCCAGTTGGTTGTTGACGTACCAACAATGGCACATGTGGCCTATCCAGTGTTTGCGTGAAGGGGCCTTGCTTGGACGATAGGATTGCCAACGCTGCTGTGGCTGATGACTGATATACTAGGAAATGAATCAAAAGTACCATATTCTCCACTTGCAAGAAGACGTACTTCCCCATCTTCCTCCCCCAGAAACCAACCAGAAAGTGGATACACGAGCAACATCTCCATCGGCACCATCCGATATTTTCCCCATGTTTGGCCCAGTCCACTGCACCTGAACTACAAGTAGCTTCTAGCTACTAGTAGAAATGCACTTGTTACTAGCTTCTTGTTACTATAGCAGCGATGGCCTCCACCTAGTAGCTTCTTGCTACTAGTAGTAACACCATGCCTTCCCGCTCCTCAGGGTCCAGTGTGGCGTTGTGCATCAGCGAGGCCTGGCTCAGCGTGAAGGCGCAGGGCAAGCCCTGCGGCGCCGCAGCGGTGTAGTCGCCTCGGGGAGACCAAAGGGTGACCCGGTGGTCGGGAGGAGCGCAAAGGTTTGGGTCGGGTTTGAAGGAGCAAAACAACATCTTTGGATGGAGTTGGAATGCGGGGAGGATGGAACGATAGCCCACAAGCAATTTTTTGGAAACAATGATGAAACCAGGGCAAAGGATAAAGGATGGGCCATTGCAACGGTCAATCCATACTGTTCATGTTGTTTCTCCAAACTTTTGGATCGCTTGCTCTTAAACTCGGGTGATACTCGGGTGTTCCGCAGGACGTGTCCTTTGAAAAATACGCCAAACAAAATCACCTGATGTTTGTCAAACATCCTCCAAGCGCAGGATTATCAGGCCAAGATCACACCCTTGAACGGCAAAGTGAATGAAACCTTGGAGCCATCTTGGGTAAAACTTTCTTGACCAATACTTTTTTGAAAGACATCCGCATGTGTTTTTTGTTTCTTGAAGATGGAGATTCCAGCCGAATAACTGCGCAGGAACTCAGAGTTCCCCAACAGTCAGTACTGCGTGGCAATTTTGGGCTCCGATTGGATCCAGCACGCCCAAAATTGTGGGTAGGTCAAAGAACAGGTACACATACCTTTAAGTCTCTTGATGAATATTACCCCCCCATTTGGATGCACGAACTCGCGGAGGGTCTGCGACGCGTACACGCCTCCACGCCCTCCCTTGCTGGATTGAAGAACCTCTTCAAGAGTCTACATCAAGTGCCGGTCTCCACTTCCGAAGCTGAAAGGACCTACGATCGGTTTCGGCTCAGGATCTCGCTGACCGCACTGTCCAAGTCTCCCATAACGTAGAAGAAGAACCGCCCGGTGGAATGGTCCAACGCTCCTTGAAAGGTGCGTGGACGGCATGGTGTGTGGAAGAGCGGAACAGGTTTGTCTGTTGGTGGGTCAAACATGGTTGACCCTTGGACAAAGAACAATATGCCAGCATCGACCCCAAACAACTTAGTCAGCAAGATTTCATGGATTCCATGACATGGAGAGCCCATGAGAACCCCGACAGTAAACAGGCCTTGGGGGGAAAAACATGATTTCATGGATTCCAGGCCTTGAGTGTTCACCACAATTTTCCATGGCCCGATCCGGATCCGGAATCCAACTTCATGTAAGTCCTGGTCGCCTATTCTGAACCTGCAGGGCAGCCGCCTAGTCGGGTGATTCTTCGAGCCAAATCCGAGGGAAGTTTTCCTCATATTCTTTCTCTGAGCGTCTGCGCAACATGAACCATTGTCTTCAGTGGTGTTTTTCGAACCGTGTTTGGACGAGACTGAATCCCAACAGAAGACGTGGATTTTTTGCAACCTTTGGTTCTGTGGGTTGTGAATGACAGACTTCATCCAAGATTCCATCTGAGAAGGACAAAGTATCACCCACTGGCACCTGCCACGGACAGTGCATTGCAAAATCGATGGAACGTCACGCTTCTTTCCCTTCTGTCTCGCCTCTTTCTTGTCCCTCTCTCTCTTTCTCGCTCGTTCTTTCTCTTTCGCTTTTTGGAGTTTTTGAGAGCAAGATTTCACCAAGATTAAACAGGAATTTGCACATTATGTTTTAAAAAATATTTTTTGATATACAATGTGTCTTCATTGCACCTCCACTTCCCTCATCCAAACCATTCCGATACACCCCCAACACCTCCAAAAACTTCGACGTTGAACATCATTCAACGTATATAACTATATTGAAATATATTGAACATGATTAAACCCATTCCTAGTTCTTTGACGCCCATCTTCAAACATCCAGCTTCGCATTTTGAACATCTGCCGACCACCGACGCAGTAAAGATTGCCATGCCTTGGTGTGTGCATCCAGCGTGGTCAAGTAGCCCCAGGTCGTTTGGTGCACCAACCACCGTGCATTCTGCGCAATCTCCTCCCTTGGAAGACGAGAAGAGCCAGAAAACATCAGGGCGAGTTTCTGAAGATCGAGAATGAGATCTGAAGATCAACACATATTCTGGTAGCCATATACTTTATGTCTGGAGTATGACATGTTTAGTCCGTTGTAAGTCCTCAAGGAAGTCGCAAAAGGGCCATAATAGGCGGCCATAAGTCAAACATCAAGGTAAGGACATCCTTTTTGCAACAAGGACTTCGCTTGGAATGCTGGACGACTCCGCAAAATGTTGTCATAAGAAAGGACCTGTGCCACCATGACAATGCCCTTCCAGTACTGCTTTTGTGATGCATGAGAGTAGGAGGGAACAACTCATAACTTCTAATCTTAAAAGGTGCCGGTGTGGTACCAGCAATGCTGAACAACTCTTTTAACTATTGGCAAGCAAAACCCTTGCATTGGAGGGGTTGGGTTCGGGGTGGAACAATGGCGGCCATGACCATCGCATCCCCCAACTACACAATGAATAAGCATGTGAATCCTTATAACTTTACTAATTTATACATATCCTTGCATACCGGGGGGCTTCATCACATACATCCTATATGTAGACCCCACAACCAGTTGGTTCCAAAAAATCTATTCAGCGTCCAGCGTCGGCGTGCGTGCAGCTGCCAGTGGCAGTGCCAGTGCCAGGGTCACGATAGGCCACATGGGATCGGACAAAAATCGACTCCAAGAGATCTTCGATGAAAAAAGACTCTGCACATATCTACTTCGTTTCGGTGCTGAACCTCTGCTGTCGCTGAACCTCTTTCCTGCTTCAAATTCTGCGTATCTTCGGTGCTTCGCCGGTGCGACGTTTCCCCGGTTTGAGTGGCGCAATTCAACGCGGAGTGGCAAGATCTTGTGGTTACAAGAGGTCTGATACGCAATCCAAACAGTAACCATCCAAGTGACTGTTCCCCCATGTTGGATGCTTTGACTCCAATTCATATAAAAATCATCAATGACTCCCTACAGTACCGAGCCAACCGTCTGGTTTTCGCATGTGTTCACCCAATCCGAGGACCCTCAGCCCCGCCCCAGACCTCGGGATACAGGCTAATCCACCTAGACATGGGTTCGTGTCGATCACAACTTGCAGCAATGCCTTCCGCACGAACGGCACCACGAAGATGTACTGAACCAATACACCCACGGCCCATCACGGCCCCCACGGCACCACGCATCTGAAGGAGGGACATGGGTCCTTGGTAGCCTTGGTCAGTTGGATTCAACCACCCCAAACTCCAAACTGGTTGCAGAAACCACCTGGAGAGCTCCCGACCAACTCACATCGTAACTCCCGACCACCCCGCCTTCAAACGCCCCTGCGAACTGGAACGCCCAGACACCTGGTTCCAGTTTTGGGTGAATCGTTGGATGGCTTACATGGCAAAGCACATGGGCCACCAGGAACAAGGCTTCGACACTGCCAGTAGGACGTCTGGTGACCGAATATGTTTGTTTGGCCTTCCTCGTTGTCGTTCGATGCTTCCGTTAAGAGTAGGAACATCGGTGTCGTTCGCAGGTGTTTAGGGTGCATTCTGGCCTTTGCAACTTCCAAGGGTGAATCCCTCAAATGTTGGTTTCACAAAACAACAGTTTCACCACGTGAGTGCGTGTGCGTCGTTCCACATGTTGCGTATGCGAGTTGACACCTCAAACGTCTACAGAAACAATGGACCTATGGGGGGTTTAACAACTAACAACACAATTGTACACAGGAAAACACGAAGAATCAACCATTTGCCCGACAAACAGCATTGTTGAAGGTGAAAACCATCTATCTATCTACCTGTCTGTCTGTCTGTGTATCTGTGTGTCTATCTATCTGTCTGTCTGTCTGTCTATCTGTCTATCTATCTATCTATCTATCTATCTATCTATACATATATAATATCTTAACTTCTGACAACATCCACGGCAACCTCCGTGAGGTCCCTCAACCTTGTGAAACCAGTTCAACACATGTTCAAGACATGTTCAACACATTGGTGCCCACAAAAAAGAATGGATCCACTGACCGACCCCCAACGCGCTGGTTGAAACCCGGCGTTTCGTCACAAAACCACGACGAAATCGGGCCCCGGCCATGGACTTGGGCACCAAGATCTTGTCCCTGATCCACTCCTCGATCGATCTGCCCCAAGTGGCCCACGGTTCCCCATGGGGTGTGGCATCCAACGATCGCTGTAGCCCCCATCCAGGTGCATTGCGCTGCGTGGTCTGCTGGGCCGTTGTGGGCGGTTTTTAAGTGGGACCAGTGGAATGAGGTCTCACAAACCTTGGCAAAAGAGGTCAAATGCAGACACTAATACCCTGTCACGATCTTTACACTTTGTTTGCTACAGGACGACATCTGTGGACATGATGGCCGCAATATATATATATATATCTACAGTATATCTATATGTTACATTTCTATTAGCTGTATGTTCCATTGTGTGAGAGAAAAGGTACCTTACAAACAAAACAATTTGGAGGTAGCAGCGCAACATTCCACAGGTATGGGTCAAGCCTTAACCTTCCAAAACCCAAAGAAAGAATATCCTCAGACCCTTTTTGTTCCCCAAACAGTGTGTCCACACTAAGGTTTTTCCAACGGTAAGAGCTAAGTGGACCTTCGTAGCACTTGTGAACCTTGAAGTGCAGATCGTGGCAAGTGCAGCCCTTTATGTGGACGTTGAAGTGCAGATTTCCTGGCAGGCGCAGCACTTTGGACCTTGGTGCAAAGTTTGTGGCAGGTGCACTTTTTTGTGGACCTTGAAGTGTAACTTTTGTGCAAGCGTGCACTCGTAAGGGGCAGCAAGCATCTCTCTCCACCTCTACACATCTAGAACTCCGGACCTAGCTTCAATTCTCACCACCATCACCGTCACCACTGCCACCCACCACCATCACCACCACCACTACCATCACCACCACCCTCTATGAGAACTCACACCTTTTAGAGTTCAACCTCAACTGCAAAGCGAACACAAAGAAAAGAGAACAAGTGAACTACACTTCTCGATTTGTGCTCGACTGCGATTAGTCGACACGCGGGCCGCCGTTCCCAAGCGAAGCAACTCCTTTTTGCGTCGCCCTTGAGCCAACCGGTACGGATGGCACTTTGGTACACTTCTCGATTTGTGCGCCGTAGCGCACCATGGTCAAAAGCGGTGTGTGCAACCGCGACCGAACCTTCCAAGTGATCGAACGAAACGATATGTGGTTGCTCGAACGATTGCATAGGGTGCCTATATTTCACACCCCCCTACAACCATATACGAGAGCAGTGCTGATCACTTGGTTCATACTATCCCATACCTTGTGTTTTTTACTTATAAGTCCTGTTACGCTACTTATACTTATAAGTAACATAAGTAAACTTATCCTACTTATGGACCTTACCGAATAAGTAGGACAAGTGCGATGGTAAGTAGAACATGTTGTGTTTTTGAAGGTTTTGCTTCTTTCTGTGTTTTGGTAAATTTCAACCAGATGCAGCCGCATATTTAAGACATCTGTATTTATATATACATATATATATATATGTTCGTGTGCACTGGTTGGCGCGCGGCTGGACTTGGCCGCGGCAGTCTGTCTGGGGCCGTGTATATATATATATATAGATCTCTGCGGCTCTGCGGAGGTGTCGGAGACATGACACAAACAACAACAAAAACGAGCGGCGCGGAAGCCCCAAACCACCAAAAAAAAGACAAAAAAAACAATATTTCCCGTCCCGGTCTTCCCACAAATTTCCCACAAATGATTTCATTGTTTTTCAATCTTCCCACAATTTCCCTTATTAAAGGTAATTGGCAGGGTCTTTCCCACAATCTACTTCCCCAAAGTCTTCCCACAATTTCCCACAATTTTCCCACAATTCCGGGCACTCCGTTTTCTTGCGCCCAGTAAGTGCTCTACATAGGCCCAATGAGCCCGATAGAGGCTTCCAGCTTATACACCTCAGAGACCAGCACGCCCACGGCGTCCAAGGTGTACAAGATGTCGGTTGCAGCTGCGCCCAGACTCCCTCGCCTCCATGCCTCCCACAAAAATGCTCCCACAGTCTATATTTGCTTAAGCCCAACTGCCAGGACAACCCTCAAAACCTCTATACCCATAAGTAGGTTAAGTAGAAAGTAAGTAGAACATTGTTTTTTTCGTCATACTTACGTTGTACTTATAAGTATGCAAAATGTTTAACATAACTAGCACAAGTATCTATATAACTACGATAAGTTCCAAGCCATTTTCGTAGAACTTACGCAACTTATCATGGTTATAACTAGGTTATAACTCTAGTTGTCCCATTCATAAGTATAAAAAACACAAGGTATATGGGCCACATGGGATTCCTGGACTCGCGACGAACCATCAGCCAAGCTTATCTAAGTACTTTTAAGGTCCGGATCCTTATGCACTTTTATGCTAAGCAAACAGGTTGTGTAGCAAGTTGATTTCAACACACTTTGCAAAACTTTCTTTACAAATCATGCAACATGGCCTTCACGGCTTTCCAGTCGTCCGAGGCACATGATCTCTCGTGGATCTGGAGGCATTCCTTTTCAAGCTCAACGGACAAGATTCGAAGAAATTGCTGCAGCGAACAAGTGCAGTACTATCAAGCCTTAAGCTATGTATCTATTTATGGAATATGTTATTTCTTCAAGTTCTTGCCTCTGGACCCTTAGGATCTCTACCGCCAGATGCATTGGTAACATCCAGTCACCTGCACTCCCCCGACCCGGCATTGAGTCGACCCATCAGGCCAAACAAAATGCAGCTTCCTAGGAACATCGGTTGCCGAGATTGCGAACCGTTGGGTCTGCACTAGGGGCATTCCAACTGCACAGACCTCAGAAAAGGTCAAATCCGTGACCAGCTCATCATCCTTTTTGTGCTTCAGGATCCCGCAGCTTCTCTTGTGATATACACGTCCAGCCTTGCGGGTCATACACAAATTCTCACCAGCAGGAATCAACTGTTCCGGGGTGGTCGATGATGGATCTGTTGCAGCTTCTGAGGCGGATGCA